TGACTCTCCGACCGAGTTGCGAAAACAAGGTCGAACCAAGACTACAAAGCTAAAGGAAACATCGACAAAACACAAGGCCGCCCCATCTTATTATTGATATCTACGACTTCATTTTGATAAGTTAAACAGGCTTGAAACTCAATCCATCTTATGTGTGAACGCACTTTTTGTGTGGACTACACAGAGTGCATGACATTCACCTATTTTATCTGTTCATATATCGCATGGATGCTTCAACTGGTATACATGTAAGCTAAGGTGGGCATACCTTGACTTTCCCTCCTTACTGATGCAAATGGGTGTTTTAAACGCTAATATGTCTGTTTCTCAAGCTACATGCCTTTGCATAAAATCTTTTTGAATGCTTCAATATAACCATAGGCAAAGTTAAACTGCATTTCATATTCGGTGGAATTGCTATTAAATTCTGTAGAAAATATCAGGTCATCTGTTTATTTTTTCCTCACACCGGACGACTAGCATTATTTCCATTTTTATTTTTGCTATACATTTTTATGACGTTATAGTAGTTTTAAACTTTTATTATGGATGCATTCATTAATGCTTTTTTTTGCTGTAAACTATTATCAGTTCTGATCTGACATTGCCTTCACCAAACCCCGGGCCAATGGAACATGGTGTCTACGAACTTGCTGCAGGACTTGAAGCGTCAGCTGAAATCAACCCCTCTTTATCTTACTTTCAGCCAGTCGGCCCCAAAGATATCGTCATAGTCTGCCCCAGTTTTCCTTATTCCTTATCTTCTACTATTCTTCCTACTATTAAAACTGTTGATTATTCAACACAAATCATCCATCCAGACACCCCGGATACTCTCAGGCATATAGTTGATCCCAATAACCTATCCAATTATATTTCCAATAATGGCAGTATCAATTCTAGTCTCTTAACTGCTTTTGGAAATTCGACTACGTCTTCATCCGTTCTGGTTCATAAAAGATCCCCATCAACCCTCCTCTCCTCTCTGCCTCAAACTGTCCTCGACAACCAGCCCGCCTATCTCGCATTTAGCCAAGCTGCTAAAGTGCGCAATTCTATCTTTTCTTCACATGATCCTATGGCTGTCGGTCTAGTGCAGGATATCTGTCCTGAACGTGCCTCGGTATTTATTCAATGGCCAATGCGAAGAGGGCAGCCTGTCTATGTAACGGAAGTACCGATGGCCATTTGCTCAAGTGTCGCCAGTGAGGTATGCTCCTTTCTGATCACTTATACTATAAAAGACTTAGATCCACTTATCATCTTTTATCTGATCTGGTAGCTATGAGACTGACTGGATCCGGTCAGTTCCATAGTACCGTTTCGGCATAACGACCTGATCAAGACGGCGCTGAAGTATCTAAATCATAAATAAATATACATTTTCAATTCGGATTCTAGTAATGATTGAGTGTAAGCTATTAAGAAAGAAAATAATGTCTTTAAGCCTTTTAACATTTTATTTCATATGAAAGCTCAATGTTTGGTTTCACTAGAACTTAAAAGGAGTTTATTCGGGAATTACACTTTTGATTTTACCATACTTCTTTAAGCATTCTTATTCGACATTTCTTAAATTACTCAGCTTTTGAATTTAATTTACTATACACTGTCGGAGCTTGTTGTTTGACGGATTTATTGTCTATACATGTCTGCAGATGAATGAGGTTGCTTCGAATGTGGCCGTACCTTTTATTTTTGTCAGTAACTTGTAGCGTGATAATGAAATTTTAGTATATATTTTAGCGTGCCTCATACACTTGTACGTATTTATCTCTCTTGATACAATCGAATTGTGAGAGCTCTAACCAGATTTCAGTCCAATCAAGAGTTTTACGTTTGCTTGGTGATAGATCGACTCCATTATATTTAGTTCGTCCTGAACTTCTGTTCAAAGTGTTATTAACTTTATTAATTTATAAAGACTTTATATTTATGCTGGCATACCTTTCATTTCGTTTGGAAAGGCTGGAGGAAGATATTCGTAAATTGGCCTCACCGAATACCGAAGGACGATTGCCATGAACATTTGATTGCTGGATTGTGCAAAGAAGACCTCGGCAAATCGTTTTGCGACTCCGATGAATCCTTGTGGAGCTTTCGTCATTAATGTTACAGACATCTTTAGAACAATCACACAAGAACACTCATGAAAGGTGGCCTGCTCAAATTATACTTCTTATACCTAACTTTGTGATCTCAATGAGACATACTATGGTTTGATTTGCTATTTTGTGCCTACCATGCATGCATGTGGACAAGTGAAGTTGATGCATGAAAGGGGAGCGGATGTGGCCATCCTTTACGTAAATATATTAGCGTATGATCCTGCAATACCTATAAACCTCTGCACCCTGTTTTGTGTTCTGATAACCCATTATATATGGGTAGACAAATTTCCCCCACTTAGACATTGTTATATGAGTACAAAACCTTGTAACAACTTAATCCGTTGAAGGGGGTTTGAATCTTTTGAAAAAGAGGGCATGAATTAGGAGAGTGTTAGTCTTTCTTTATGCATGGTCCTGATATTCCATTTTATCAGTAATTCACCTATCTTTTTTGAAAGTTGGCAGTGCAGTAGCATCAGGAACCTGGATGAAGGGTTGTCTAATTCTCCGTTTTCTTCTTGATAGCGGTTTCTTACCATCGTACTTCCTAGTATTTCAAAATTATTTACATTTATTTCTAACGGATCATTGGTGTCACTTAAGCTCTTTCGTAGCCTTTTCAACTCTTCATCCTAGTGATTTGTGTCCGCTATAGGCAAGTTCATTATACCGTATTTTTCGGCGTATAAGATGACTGGGCGTATGAGACGACCCCCTGACTTTTCCAGTTAAAATATAGATTTTGAAAGGAGGTAAGGGGCACAACAGGAGCTCGGAACCATAGTATAATTAGCGATCCCTAAACTACACTCGGCGTATAAGACGACCTCCCACTTAGGAGCCGAAATTTATGGTGTGAAAAGTCATCTTATACGCCGGAAAATACGATACTTGATTCCATAACTCATACCTTAATAGCATAAGCATGATTTGAGTATAAATTAAGGAAACTCGCATTTATGGATTTCCTTTACACATCCCTACAAAATCTGTTCCCCTATCTTTACACCAGAAAAGGTAACCTACTATTCTTTTCTAAATCGACAGTGAATTCAGTAGTCCTATCTAATCTATTCAATAGCCTAAGGAAGTCTTCTAGACTACTTTTGCTATGCTGCCTGATAGCAAAATAGCGATCCATATATCTGACTAATAGTTTCGGAACTCGGAGTGCTTCATGTTTGCCATGTAGGTAGAGTTTAAATATATACGGTCTATATGGGAAGTAAGTTGGGTTTCGAGGAATCTCTTGTTTCATAATTGTTGATATTACTTACATTTCGACTGAAAATGTTTAGGGAAGAGGCTCGAAGGTCGATCTCATCATAAGACGACTGCTCAAACCCGTCTCATTTTTTTCTTATATATCTGCCCCTATTTATGAGTAAAATCGTTCCCTCTTGTCCGTCTACAGAAACACTTGAGTATTGCTACAACAATTCGATCGTAATTGAGGACTAGACGTTGAAAATAAATACACTTATCTCGTGTGATGGTAGTGAATCCGATTGAAAGTAGCAAAGCAAATAACATCCTGACTAAGAGGAACGAGTGTTAAAAATTAGGCAAGGCCTATCTCCGAATATTGGATAGAATTAGAGAGGGAGAGCTCAGCAAGATTTATCGATGTCGCAAAACGATGAGCGGAAGCCTTCTTTGCACAATTCAACAGTCACAAGTCCAAGACAATCCTCCTTCAGAATTTCGTAAGGCCAATTTACGAATCCATTCCACTCGTATTTTCAGACTAAATGAAAGATATATCAGCATTACTATAATAAGGCATTATTCAAAATCCAGCTTCACTTCTCTCCTAGCAACTATAGTATCCCATATTGGCTACAGGCTCATCTACTTTGAAATAAAAAAAGAAACTGAGTTTCGATGAATCACTTGAGATAACATTGTTTGAAAGACTGTCATTTCGTATGAAAGTGCATGAAGAAGAGATTCGTAAGTCGATCTCACCAGAAGAGGACACTTGAATCGCGTTGTACTGCAACCGTTTGGCTTTAATGCCACGGTAAGGTTGACGCAGTCAACGGAACTCAACCGCATATTCTGAGGGAAAACTTGGTTGGAAGGGATTAGCATTTTGGCCTAACCGGAAACCGAAGGGTTGCCATTGCGTCCTGACTGATTATGTGGATGATTTCTCGGCTTACCGCCCTGCTAATCCAACAACTTGATGCTTAGTCTCCATCTGTTTTGTGAAAGGCATCAGAGCCAGGAATTATCATCTAGGAAAGCAGAGCGCCCAACCAAGAAGGGTTTGTCGCATAACAGATGAAAGCCTAGTGTTGAGTACTCAAGGTCTCTGGACGGTGAGCCGAAAACCCCTGTACATTCAAACTGTCCCCACTAAGTTAATTCTTCGATTTCTAATAAAGCCAATTTACGAGTCTCCTCCAATAAACTTTACCATCGAGGCTAAAAGTCTAGCTTCATTAAGTCATAAGGGATTTTTCGAGTCCTTATTATTTTTGCTATTAAGGATAATCTGTTTTGCAAAGTTCCACATTTGTATTTCGACGTATATTTATATTCCCCTTCTATTGAATTAAATCTTAAACCTGCGCTCCGAATGCTATTATTTTAACAAAATTTTGATTCATCCCTAAATTCTATTTTTACCTTGCCTTCTTTCGTTTGTATTTATGAAAATAATTTTCAGTATATTATTTTGCTACCCCTTTATCCTAACTTACATTCATTTTAATTAATCTAATTGGAATAATTATTTTTCAAGCAAAAATATCCTTCTAGTCATGCTATTAGTTGTTTTTAATATGCATCTTTTTTTTGGAAAACATTATATTCTTTCTTATTAACTTCTGTTATATTCAGGACACTCCTTTTCTGCCTGGAATCCTCAATATATATACTCTTCAGGAAGCCGATAATGAATATGGTATATTTCCCTTAATATCCGAATGCACGTCGA